ACAGAATCATAAGAATCATGACAATGAATTGATGACAAATTTAATTTTGATAATGAGAAAAGTAAACTATCAAAATTTCCCAGCATTTGGCTGGTGGAAAAAATCAATAAAATGATGCTAATTATGAGATAATAAGATGAAAAATAAAACAATTGACCTAATTAATTGGACGGAGGAATGAGAATGGAGAAGACAAAAAAAAGTTCTGATGAAAACAATCAATGAATGGTATTCAGTTAATCCGTTGTTGATTTAAGGAATCAATCATCTTCCATGTTATCACAATTTTTTATTGTTGTTCCATCATCAGCAAGATAATCTCACATTTCTTTAGGAGATAATCCTAAATGATTATCTCAAAGTCTTAATGAATTGAAATGGTATCAATAGAAATAGAGGAGACAACGACACAGAACTGAATCTAGGTTAAGAAACACAAAGTATAACATGATGATAACACCATGAAAAGAAAATAAAATGAATTTAATGAGACTCTGAACATGAGGGAAATATAGATTGATATGAGAGTGGAAAAAAAGTGTAATATCACTGAGATATTAAGAATATATCAAAGAAAATTTTCTAATATAAATATACAAGTTTAACGAATATTCCTCACTCCCTCTCTCACTCACACTATATGTATTGAATAATATCATGTAAAAGTTTCAAAAAGATTTGTCTTGTTTTGTTAGTTCAATTTCATGGTAACGATAACGAAAAATGTAAATGACAATCGCGGGGTAAACTGTATACACTTAAAGGGTTGCAAATCCTAATAGATGGGGTAGTCACATAGCTGAGAAACTAAATTGGCTCACATTTTGACAATGAATCTGATTATAATTGATAGTTTACATCATTTACATTCTTGAATTAAGATTGAATTGAAAATTATCCTGAGAATTGAAACTTGGTATAACATAGACTCAATTGTAAATCATATACTAAATGAATATAGTGGAGAGAGAGAGAGAGAGAGACAGGGAATACTAAGTTAACGAAGAGAAATGTTTGCGTGAAGATACATGAAATGTCAGAAAAAAATCGTCATCCATCATCATCATCATGAGCAGAATATGATTGGAAGTTACAGAATTTTCAGCAATAAGAATTGAGAAATACCTGTGATCATAATAACAAGAAGTCTTCATGAGGAATCAAAGTCTTTAGGTGGTTTGATTGTGTGGAGAAATGGATGGATAGAGGAGGGAAAATGAGGGTAGGGTGATAATGTTTTACTTTATTCAACTGTGACTTCAATGTAATAACATTACTGTTACCATGATAATCACCATCATCATGAATGGAATTGAAAAAGAAATGGTTGCCAATTGCTTGAGAATAACAATTTTCCCAACGATATAAATATAAGAAGGATGAAAAATAAAAAGATTCCAATTGTAAATCAAATCAAATCAAACCATCATCATCATTATCATGATTATCATGAAAATATATTTATATTGGAAAATGTTGCTTGACCCTTTCACATTAATTACCAAATTGGTTAATCAATTGAATTGTAATCACAATTGTTACTTTTATGTATGTGAATGAATGATGAAAATCAAACTAAACTACATTTAATTTACCAGATAATCATTCAAGTTAATCAATTGTATTATCATCGTTCAATTGAATGATGTTGAGAAGTTTTTATATTAATCAATTTCAATTGAATTGCATTGCACGAATTGTATTAGACATTTATATAGAATAACAATTAATCAAACATTCAAAACACGAATTGGAATTAAATATTTAACACAATTAACATCAACCTCTCCCGTTGATTGTTACAATTCATCAATGATAAACAATAGAAAATAAAATATACCCGATTTCCTCTGATAGGAAATAAGGTAAAAAAAATCACCAAGAAGCAAGAAAAAAATAATAATAATAAATATCCAAGGGAATCCAATCAATTGTGAACAAATAATAATTAGAAATACAGGAAACTCATGAACATCATGCTAATCAGAATATCATTGGTATTAATTGTAATTAAGTTTGATTATCTAGGAGAAGAATGAAAAAAGTGTCATTGTCAATTGTATCAGATGATTGTTAAGGAAATTGAATATCAATCAATAACAATTCAATTCAGATCGAGTAACTTAATTAGTAATAATTGATCGTCAAATTTTCCCTGTTTTATATCATTACCATTGTAATTGTATCAATAATTTAAATTGACTAACTATTAACTTGGATGGTTAAATTTTAAATATTAAATGATGTTAATGATTGACTATTTACTTATAATAAATATGATGAGTTACATGGTAAGTTACATGGTAAGTTATATGTTTAAATAGCATTATTATCATTTCAATTTTGAACTTTTTGTTTTCGTTTCATAGGAAATCAATTGATCTTCTAGATAATGATAATCACCAGGATATTCAAGCTTATTCTTGTAACGTTTACATGGAAACAGGGAATGAAAATATTCAGAATTCATGGCAACTTTTAGATCTTTTCAAAAGTTTCAAAAAGTTAGTTGGAGGTGAAAATTCTGGCAAATGATTTTTGTTTTTTCGTTTTACTATTTCGTTGATGAGAAACACTTTCTAACATTTGATATAAACAACATCTAAACAAGAATAACAATGTTATTCAGCTGACAGATGATGATTTTCGGTATCTTAAAGATGAAGATGATCATGATGATGAGGATAGATAGAGAATTGAGAGTGGGAGTAAAGATTTGAAGCTTCTCTCGCTTTTTTTTATATATTCATAGTTTGGATAAAAACAAAAGTTACTCGTCCATGACATTTTTATGAAAAATCATCAACATTTTATCAGCAACAACAGTTTTTACAAGAGCCTCATCTTTTGTATCATCCTCATCATCCTCATCTAAAGCATCTTCATCTATCCTTATCATCATGATAACATCACTATTCATGAACAGTATGCAAATGAATTGAAGTAGATGTTGTTATTTTTTTTTGTGTTGTTCTTGTTGCTTTTCATTTCTGTAAGATGATTACCAGAATTGAGATGAAATTGTAAATCATTTCCAGGCTTATCTCTCAAAAATAATGTTCAGACACAATAATAATGATAATCATGATGACAATCATTAATAATGATAAAGATAAGCTCATCATAGAGGTTTAATTAATTAATCTTTCTTTGGAAATTCTCTGAACAAGCAAATCTTCATGATGAATTCAAAGTATCATGAAAAAAAAACTTTTCTCTCTTTTTTTCTTCTATTAGAACAATTGTTTCGTCCAAGATAATTTGACCCGCTTAATTAAACTGACCATCACCTTTATTCATCATTATCATGATAATTAAAACTCAATGAGATCATGATGAATTAACCCAATTAAGATTTGTAATCTAGATTTGAACAAAAGTGATTTATAATGAATGAAAATGGGTTAGGAAACTTTTTCTCGTAAAACTGTAAGTAAAAACAATAATAGAATTTAATTAATTAGAAAATTAATCATTTTCTAATCTAATTAGCCTTCTAATTGTGATAATCTTGACCAGAGCCAACGAAAATAATTATATAGATTATATAACTAACCTCAAAACTTTGGTTACAAGGAGAGGAGTTCAAAGCCTCGAGTTCTAATAAATATATCGATCAGATTATTGATCGATAATCTTAATGTTGAATTAATTTTCATTCTCATCTTTCTCCAGGCATAATCATCATCATCATCATCATCATCGAAATGTAGTCATGATAAAATTAAAGTCATTCAAAATGATCTGATTAATTTTATCTCTACTTTGATTGCTCCAGTAGATCATGAGATTAACTTAATCCAATGGATTAATTTAATAATATATAATAAAAATTATATAATTATCATCATCTTTTCAACCAATTAATGAACATCATGATGCTTTTTTTTCAGTATAATAATTTTAATTACACAAAAATTATCATCAAAATAAATCAGCTGTAATGATAAATAGGATAGTTGATTTATCCTTTAATCAATAATCAACAGATTATAAAGTCAAGTATTATCCATGAATTGGAGTGATAAATTTTCACAACGAGTAAACTGAACATCCTGATCAAGATAACTATTAACTAGGCAATTAGAGACATAAAACTGAGTCATTAATTGTTCATCGTGACAATTTATCTTAATCTTTGGGTATAATTTATCAAAATCCAGGTTCAAATAATACAATACCCACACTCATACACAAAGGGAGGGGGAGAGAGAAACACCAATGGTAAATAAAAATGTCAACAAAGTGCTAATAAGGATAATGATGAAAAGTGGTGATCGATAATCCATTGGAACTTTTTTTTATCAATATCTTCCTTACAATTCCTTGGTAATATTTCAATTTAATAGGTTTTTTTGTTCAACATGAACAGAATTTACTATTCAATGGGAAGGAGATAGAAAAAAAAAATCTCATGATACAACAAAACAACCATGATATTGATGAGTAATTTGTTGTTACCAAAATTCAACATTAAAAGGGTGAGTCTTTTTCCCCTGTAGACACACAATTCATATGTTGTAACTCAGAAAGATAACAAAAAAATCTGAAACCTGAATAGATAGATGAATGTTCAGTTAATTTTGATTAATCTAATCAATTGGATTCAAGGATTGAATAAAGAGATAATTAAAGTTTCATTCCCTCTGGAGGCTTATCATCATTTTCATAACTTGATAATCACCATGAACCAGAAAAGTTTAAAACAATAACTAGAAATTAATTGTTTTCATGATGATGAAACAAAAGTAGAGAGAAAGAAAGATAAAGTTCAACAGGGAATGAGTTAATTACGTGTAACATGAAGGATGGAAAATAGGCAAACAATTAAAATGAATTAAAAGACGTAAAAGGATTCGAAAAGATCGTATCGAATTGTTATAATCATAAATTAAAACTTTTCGAAACTTTTTTTTTGGCTTACAGTTGATGGCACGAATGTTAGGACTTGGTTCTACCAAGTCGACGACAAAGAAACGGTTCGAAAACACTGAACATACCTCGATATGATTTGGCTACCGACATGATCGTTTGTGATGCAGCAACCAAGGGATTAACCAGATTCTTGAGACGGAGTTTTTCAGACTTTCTTAACCAATTAGTTTCTCTCAATTCTGTAGCTGGAAAACAAGTAAATCTAATGAGACTTTTATTGTGTCTAAATTGTGAGATGATAAACAGAAGAAAAAGAAGAAAAAAACAAACGAATAAAAGAAAAGGTAAAAAAGAAGAAAAAAAAGTAAAATAAAACGATAATAAAACGAATAAAACAAAATAATAATAATAACTGAATGAACTTAAAAGGTTAAATAACGGAAACGTAAACAAAAACAACAACAACTTCAAGTCTCAGTATAATTGTAATCAAATTAAATCGTAAAAAAAAATATACAAACTCATTGAATATGAGAGGAAATTGTGAAATAGGAAAATATGTAGACATAAGTGAAGTAATTTTATGCGAAAAAATATTTACCGTTATATTATTGTGATGATGATGATGCTTATATTTGAATACATAGATAGGAATATGATGAGAGAGAGGGATGGAAAAGGTTTGATTGAGCATCAATATTCAAATTTATCTCATGATAATCATCATTATCATGAGATTGAAATAAAAATGCTTATCCTTGATTATGTCTATTTCTGTGTAATAAATTTGGTGGGAAGAAAAAATTTATCTTCAAATGCAAATCACTGATAATTGCAGACAATACAGCAAAAATAATCACTGTGATTGGATGATAAAGGGAAATGATGATGATAATGATGATGATCAGAGTGTAGATAAAAGGAATTCATTTATAAATGTGAAAATAGAGGCCGCAGGGTGGAGGTGAGAAATGGGAGGAAGGAAGGAGAAGAGGTTAAATAAAAGAGATGTGGAAAATAATGATAGCCTGGAAAAAGCATCTTCCATTGTTGTTTCATGATATTTTCCAATGAAAATGCGCATAACCTGAAATTCTGATATTTTTTTTCTTCTTCTTTAACTTATGTTAATACACGAAATCAAATATAACACATTAACCACACACACACACACAGACACACGTAAGCACATTGAATCAATGAATTCACAATGTGAAAGTGTTAGATTAGTGTGATAGTCATGGTGTTGACGAATGGGAGGGAATCAAGGTATATCTCATTTGAAATCTTTCTCTTGACTGAGTTTTATTGGGTCAGAATTTTCTACAGGGAGTGAATGAGTGGCAACGAGAGAGATGATGGAGATAAAATAAGGTGTGTAATGTTTCATCGTGAGAATTTTTTCTTTTTCTTATATTCTCCACTGAGAAGTTTTAAATTCTGTCAAGACCATGTTGTGTATTCGTCATTGTATTAAGTTGAGCATAGAAAAAAAAAATTATATGATAAAGAATAAATTTCAACCATCACTCACTCATTCGCTCTCCCTCAATGATGATAACCATGATGATAAGAAAGAAAAATGTCCTACTTTTTAGTTCATACTCGTAAAGGGCAAAATTTACATGGAACATGAATTATAAAAGAGATATTAACTTGAACAGTTCAGAGGTTAAAATTTGGAAAAAAAAATTAAATATAAAATAATGAGATCAGAATTTTCTTGTCTCTTTCCAAAATTCAGCTAGAAACGATAGGTAGATACATGTATGAATAGCAAAGTAGGGGAAATTGAAATGATTCCAGTATGTGAATAGATGTTTTCATGGTAATATTATCAAGGTGTAGCAGGGAAGGTAATGCAATAACATGAATTTGAACTTGAATTTTCAAGGTAAAATAGAGTCTGAATGGTTATCATGTTGAATGTTGATGGTCAAATCATGTCAAAGGTAAAATTCAGCAAGGATACCAATAAATTACCATCAAGATAAGATGATAATAATGACCAGAAGTCATAATACTAGGAGGATAAGATAAATTATTATATCAAATCCAGAGAGAGAAAGTAAAATGAATCTTATTTTTTTTCCAGAAAAAATATACATAAGAAAAGAGAATCAATTGGAAATTTAAATAAATCAGCTGATTGCAAATACAATTTCAATGTGACAATTGAATTGAAATCTAAAAGCATAATAATAATAAATGCATAAAGATAAAACTATTACCATTAAATAAGAGGGTAAAAGTTAAGATAAAAAGTTGGATAAGAAGATGAAGCAAATAACCAGAGGGTAAAAAACCTATGGAATACCTGATAAATGAAGATGACATTGAGTAAAAAGTAAAGGGAGGGAGAGAGTAAGAAATGAAGAAGGATAACAATTTAGAAGAGAGGGAAAAGTTTGGAAGACAACAACAAGATGACAAGAGAAAATGATGAAGAAAATGATAAAAAAGACAGGAGAAGACAGGAGATAGAGAGAGAAGATTCTTAATACTGAGAGCTATTGATCGATACTATTCTGAGTGTTTTAATATTATTTTCATGGCGCAATAGTAAAACCAATATCCTCCTCATCATCTTTATCTTCATCCTTTCATTTTTTATCTTCATCATTTTCAATCATTTTGCAGCATTTTGTACACTAAAAGATCAGCTTATTATGTATGTGAGGGAACAAGAGGACATTCAATATGGTTATTCCAATGGAAGATGTAACTCAGCTTATCAACACCAGAAACCGGAACAAGTTCATCTTACAATCAATTCCATGAGTAAATCAAATCAACTTATTGAGTAACATATTTTTTTTACACCAAAAATTATAATTTCATATGATTAACATTAAGCTTGATTAAGAAATCGAATGAGATTTAAACAAAATGTTAATATTACTAATATCATTAATACAAGTCTAATGTTCATCAATAATTAACTTGATCAATATTGAATAACAGTGAGAGTGATGAAAAATTTGTCTGCAAATGATTAGGAAAACATTAACCTTAATCAACAATCAATATGATTGATTATTGGGAGAAAAATAAACTTCTCAATTAGATGCGAAAACGTAACCAACAAATAATTTATTCAACTAGTAAATCATTGATTTGATTGGTCATGGTGATTGTAACGTTTGATAATAATAAGAAATAGTTGAAACTTTAAAGTTGTGTCAGAAAAGTGAAAATGATTAATACAACAATTAACTGATCATTTCCTGTTTTCATATGATCTTCAGGAGATTCATATATTGTTAAATAATCTATTTTTATCTTACTAGTATTGATTATCTATCCATTATATGTCAATGTAAATTATCATTATCACCATTATGGTTTGTCATTATGTAAATTGAGGTTTAGGGTTGGGTGAAAGGGTCAAGTTGCAATAGAGTAACACTCATAAAGTGAGAATTGGGTAAAAGTGACCAGAAAGATAATGATAATAGATTGTGACAATTGATCATCAACATGATCCATGATCCAGATCATCATCTGTTAGGTTTAATCAAGCAAACGGACCAATTTCAAGCAATATGTTCAGACATGTATAACTTTGTTATTCATCATCACAATCATCATATATACATGATGATTGTAATGGTTATAAGAGGTTCAGTTTCATCATGATGAAAGGAGTAAAAATTGATTCAATCAACATGAAGATAAGCAAAAAAAAATATATATTAATGTATAACAGAAAATGGTCAAACAAAATGTTATCTATTCATGATCATGTTAATTGGGGAAAAAGTCTTTCTCATCAAAGTAATCAAAATATTGGTCACTTTGAATGATTGAATGAACATCTAATGAATGAAATGTGGGTGTGGACTTGATGATGACAATCATTTCAACAGCGTCATCATCATATAGTAAATTAAATTGACACCATGAGGTCAATTTAACCTTGACTATCATAATGAAATGATAATAATGAAACTATTAAAATAATAATTTCTGATCAATTTCAACATTCAACTTGTCCAAACAACATCATACTCATGAAATTTATTGAAATTTTTATACAAAACTCACCAGAATAATCAATAACTTCATGAGTAAAGTGAGTAAGTGAGTGAGTGAGAGAGAAAACGATCAACCATGAATGATGGAAAATTTTTCTAATTCATTGGAATTCAACCATTGAGTAGAAAATAATATGAAAATAATATTTAAATCGTATGAATTGTTGATACTATTAAAAACATTTTTTTCTTTTTTTATACTGATATTATCATGGGTAATCAAGATGATCACATCATGAAATAACATCATCATTTTTACGGTGTATTCGAGATGGAAAGTCAAAAATAATGCCTAAGGTAAATTTCATGGTAAAATAGCTCATGAAAATTTAACAAAATTCATTGGAGAGACATGAACAAAAAAAATACACACAAATTGAGGTAAAATTATCAATAATAATAAAGTTTATTCTCTTCTTGTTCATCGTCATGAATTTCATCGTTATTCCCATGAGTTTTCATGGGAACATGAAAAAAGATGAAAACAGAGACAAAATCATAATCATTATCTTCCAAATAATCATGATTATTCAGTGTAATACAATATTTTTTTTATAAGAATGAAATTGAGATAAGAATTGGAATGAAACAAGATCAGGAAACAATGAATTTCAGGATAAAGTTCAGAGTAAAATGATAACAACAGTTTTGACGATCCTTAATGAACAAAGACTCAAGTTAATCACTAGAATCATGATAATGATAGTGATAACAACTACGTTGATAATATTATCATTATCATCATAATATCAACAAGAAAAAAAATTTGATTAAGATGAAGATAATTCTATGTAGCCATGGTGACGATACAACTGAATAAATGACGCAAGTAACAATTTAAAAAAAGCTATTAGACTGAAAATTGTAAAGGTAATCATAGGAAACAAAGATTCACCATCATTTGAGTGAAAACATGATAATATAACAGGAATATTCATAACATGGTGAAGAAAAAAAACCAGAATATCAATCAAAATGTAATGATGATTAAAGTGCAATTAACTATTACCAGTGTTAATGATACAACAGTAAATAGATTAAAGTGTGATAATAGGAACCAGGGTCAGTATTAAATGATTGGAATACTGGAATCTGAGAGGAAAACAATCATCATGAAATTTGAACTTTTTTTCTTTCGTAAATGATTCAATCTCATGATAAGTATCTAAAAATTCTGGTCTTTGAAAAACTCGATTTTAGAATTGAAT